AAAAAAAAATTGCCTCTTCATTACAAATATTAATATCTAAATGATTGCAAAATGGCACACACAAACGAGCCTTTTATTATTATTATTATTATTTTTGAAAAATGATTTGTACATATTTAGTTTGATATGCTTTCTTATATTAGTTTTTTTTTTTTTATAGGAAATAGAGAATTGTATTAAATATAAGAAGATTACAGATGAATCTCTCGTAGTGGTATTATAGTCAAATTAAGGACAGAAGCGTAACCTACAGTATTAATAACAGATTTAAACTGTGCCCATGACAGATATGGATAATTAAACGAAGAGGGCCATATGTGACTATAGATTGTACCTACAATTGCTATAAGGGCAAAAATAGAACTACAAAAATAGAAAAAAAAATCAAACTCGACATCAACAGTCCCCAATCCGCTATATGTCGTCCCATGCTACTGCATACTCCAACCGGTAGGGGGGTCATGGCCTGTAGCCGAGTGAGCTAAAGCCACCCCTGTATTGTTTATTAGCACTTTAAGGGCTCGCTCGTCTTCCATAGGTGTGAGACAACTTCGCCGCTTGTTCCGAGTCCCATTCTCTGTGGTCCCTGTAGAACCCACTTCCCGAGCTAACCGTTTCCAGCTGTCCTTATTTGCTTTGGCAGTGGTCCCCTTTCCTGTGTGGTTGCTCATGTCCCCCAGCTGGTACGACAAAGGAACGTCTACCAGCTGTACCTCAGCAATTGGAGGCAGAACAGCTTGAGACTGATTTATCTCAACCTCCAGGTCCATGTCAGTTGTACCATTCTCTATGTTTCCCCCCTCGACTTGCCCGGTATCCTTATTACCACTCACCACTTGGCTTCCACAAAGGGGCAAATTTGGAAGGGTTTGGATTTCTGCAGATGCAGACTGCTATGGGTCCTCTGCTCGCCTAGCAATCCTCAAAAACTGGGTATTTTTAGAGAACAAATCATCCAAAATATCAAAGCCCCGTCTGAACACCATGAGTTCTCAAATTCAGCCTTTAACCAACTACCAAAACGTTGGATAATCTTACCACCTGCATCCTTAATACATCCTTAATACAGTGAGCAATTTCACAATCACTCTCAACATGGCCCAAGCACCCACATACAAAACAAAATTCTGAAAGTCTTTCGTATTTAATCCTAAGGTTCCTACTCTTAAAATTATAAATTAAATCAATTATAATGATTTTAAAATTTTATAATCCAAATTAATTTTATTTTATATTAATTTAATTTAATTTTTTATTAAATTAGATAATTTAACTCTGATCGATCGAATTAGATCGGATGTCAACCATCCTACGTGGAAGAGTGTTAACGGAAAGAACTGAAACCGAAAAATTATTAGAGAAAGATCAGAAAAAGAAAAGCAGTGTCCAATCACCAATGGGTAACAGTCACTCACCTCCGGTGAATTCTCGCTTCGCCTCGGCATCCAGGTTTCTCTCTGAACAATTCCTCTCTATTTCTACTTTCTCCACTTTCCGTAGTCTATGTAGTCAGTTCTAGCGGAATTAATTATTGCAGAGCTTTTACGCAAAAGGAGATGGGAGATCTCAGAGCACTGTTCGTGTCCATGGCTGCCCAGTCACAGAGCGACGGTCGATACATATCTCCCTCTGTCTTTCAGGTTCGCTTTCAGTGACCCATCTGATTTCTTCTTCTTTTCTTCATTCCAATTGCGTCCATTGATGCCTTTCCGTTTCACTCTGATTTGGGTCCAGGCATACTTTGGACTGAAAGGGGCTCTTGGGGAAAGAC